GTCACAAAGACCAAGCATTACAAAACTGAATGGAACAAAAGAACAGAATAGTTATGAAGACTAAGAGGATGGATTAAAATAAGCATAAGCAGCAAAATAACTTTGAGATAATGTAAGAATTAGAAGAATAACTGCCGCAATGAAAGACAAATACGCCCAAGGGTTATCTAAGTACTTGTGTTTCAAGGTCGCTGTCAAAGAATTCAACTTCCTGGAGTAGTTTTGTTCATAGCAACGATGAACCTCACTCAACAATTGGGATAGATAAATATCTTTGGTGTCGAAAACCACTTCCTGACATAACTGGTTGAACATATCCGCAACTTCAGAATTACTTCCTAGAGAGTGCTCAATAATACCACGGTGATGCAAATAACTAATATCTTCAGGAGAATCTATTAAATTGTCCATAAAAATTATGTAGGATGTTATATCATTGCTCGACTCGAGATGACACTGCTCAAAAGCTATGAGATTCAAGAAGAGAGATTTGGTACCTACAAAAAAATGGACAGTGGGTGGACTTGTAAGTTTGAGAAGTAACTGGACTCAATTAAAAATAAAACATTCTGCATTTAAATTTATATGATGTATGTTCTTGACAAACAAAATGTTAGAGTGCAATAAAATAATTATACCACATTATATAATAAGATCTACTATTATTTACAAAAGAAGGGAGTATAATTTACCATCATGGATAAGTAGACTGGGTATCTCTAGATAACCGTTGCTGAATATAATATCCCAAAACCGGTCGGTTTTATTTAGCTTGAACTTAAAACCGGCATCCCTTAGTTCGGTCACGGTTGGTATCACTCGTTGTAGATGTTTGTCAGCCACGCGTGAGCAATTTGCCTTTCCGGCTGATCTTGGGAAGAGCAGACTTCGATGGAAAACATCAAGACAGTGCAATTCGCCATTGGATACGCCTCTTGGCGGCGAGTTCTCGGCCAACGTCTCGGCCGTTGGCATTAGTGGAACGAAGAACCGAACCACTAATTCCACTAAACCAGTTTTGTTCTGTGAATCGGGCTGTAACTCTAATAACCGGTTGAGTACGAACAAAGGAAGTTGATTTTCCAGCATTATCATGTCACGTTGTATCGAATGCATCGATCCTCGAACCGCGAAAACTGGATCGTTATGATCATATCTACGTAACAGCCAAAATGAATAATCAAAAATCATAACACGATTACCGGATTAGCAAGATAACCTGACAAAAACAAGAAATTGAATCACACTAACCCGAGTTTCAAGAATCCTTCAGCGACTCCTTGGAGGAGCTCGAGAATAAAGCAGCCATCAAGAACAAGCATTTCTGTGAACCCGTTACTGTCCAAAACAATGGGACCTTCGTAGCAAGCACGAGCCTTCTCTTCAAGCTTTGTCATGGCGTCAAGAAACACTTCAATGCCTTGGTTCGTACGTTTCAGTACCATACTGACGGCACGCCATTTGTGGCACTCCATGCACTGTGTTTGCTGTCTCCCATGGTGGTATGGACCAAGCGAGACAGTCTGAGGGAAATACGACTTCTTGTCGTTTCCATGTAGGTAATGTGGAACTTTGTATATACAGAGCTTGCCCCAGCTAGTTCTGTCATCGTCTCTATATGCTTCCTTGAGCTTGCCTTCCATTGAGATCACCCATTCAAGTCGTTTACTCCCGCTCCTGCTCCCTTCGACCACCTCGTTCATTCCAGATTGTTCAGAACGAGTGTCTTGGTGGTTCTCCAAGTTTTGGTCTTGATAGCTGATACTTTTGTTTAAAAGGACAAGTTCGGATTCTTCGTTTTGCTTACGGACATTTTCGACGTATTCTCTCAACTTGTCGTATGATTTTCCTTTTTTGACATCATGCCCAGTAAGCCAAGGAATCGCTCGTGGTCGTAGTGGCAATGATTGGGGTAGTAGTGGATGTTGCTTTCGTAATCGTAATAGTTGTTGTCGTGGTGGTGGTGGTGGTGGTGGTTGTCGTCGTAATTCTAGACGGGGTAGTGGTGGTGGTGGTGGTGGTTGTGATAGTAGTCCTAGTCGTAGTCTTAGAGGTGGTGGTGGTGGTGGTGGAATAGTACCAAAAGGTTCCATTTTGTTGGTTGAAGCTATTCCAAGAGGAAGTGAGTAATGAATTCGAACCAACAACGTAACAGAGCAGAAATAGAAAGCTTCAATCTTTTTAACTCTTATAAAAAGACTCATCATAAATGGTTGTCATACTTTATGAGAGATCACTTGGGGAAGGTTCTGTTACACAGTAGAAGAGCTTTTGTGAGGCTGTCTGATAAGCAAGAGGCTCATTTTATAGGTTTAATGTGGGCAATTGAGAGTATGCGGAGTCACAGAGTAGAGAATGTGATTTTTGGGCTGCAGGTGGAGTCTTTGGTTAAGGCTATTAACAGACCTATTGCTTGGCCTTCTTTTAGATATCAATCTATGGAGGCTGGTTTGGTTCTTAAGTTTTTTAGGCGATGGAAAATTATTTTGGAAAACTCTTCTTCAAACAGGTGTGCTTTTCTTATTGCGAAGAGTGTTACTAATGATTGTAGACTTCAATCGTATGTTGCGGTTGGTCATCCTTTTTGGCTTGATGGTGTCTTCGCAGTGGAAAGAGCTTTGGCGTCTGATTGAATCTGAGTTTTCGTGGAATCGGCTTCGGAATGGTGAAGTGTATTCCTTTGTATTAGCCCAGTTTGTTTTAGTTTGTGGCTCCTTTTGGCCTGTGTTTTTTGAGTTGTATTGCTCTTATGCATTGGTTTGGTTTCTCGGGGTTGTTATTGTTTGTAGCTCTACATCTCTTTCTAATATAATTCCAGATGACAAAAAAAAAAAAAATGGTTGTCATACTTTATATTTAACGAGTTTTAGTGAAAAAGTCTAACTTCATTAGAAAGATCCTGATAAATTCTTGTTTTATATTACTAGTAAGATGATAGGGGTTATTAAGGATTTTGCCTTTTTTTAGTGTCATCTATGGTCTCTATGGATTTTGTCATTTTAGCTCAAATCTTAAGGATTTGTTATTTTTAAACATTCAAAAATGTATATATTTATAACAAATACTAAACCCTAAAAATAAATACCGACTAAACTCAAATATAACGGATAAAACACATGTTAAATCGTATTTTTGTACCCTGATCATGAAAAATGGTAAATCCATAAATGTCACTAAGTAAAATGGCAAATTCATAATTGATTCAAGATAATATCCCTCTTACACTTTTAAAACATTGTATTTTCTCAAGATATAAAAATATAGCAAGTGTATACTAAGTTTATAGCATTGTATAAAACCAAATTGCAGTTACGAAGTCAACCTGTCTTTGTTGATGAACATAAACTAAAACCATTACTTTGGGAGTTCCCTTGTGTTTGCTGGTTGATGCTTTTTTCCAGAGATTGAGAACGAGAGCGTAAATTGGGAAATGTCAATGCACCGCTGTAAGTAATTTAAAGCTGTGATTAATGGCCCATGTGTTTGCTTATCTTGAAATCTACAAAACTCTTATAAAAAAAACTCTAATAAAAAAAAAGACACTCTTAATAAAGTTATTAAAAGACTTTCATCTGTCAAAAAAAAAAGAAAAATAAAAGACTCTCATAAATGCTTGTAGTATATTTTTAAAATTAAGTTTAAGAAGGAAAAATCTACTATACATTTTAAGGATCCAATAGGGTCGGATATTTTTGAATTTTTGATCCGAAAATCTTCAATCGGATCTTCCTAAAATTTTGATAAAATTCAAAAACAAAATTAATTAATTAAATCTAAATATATTTATATTTTCTCAACTAATTACTATACTTAAACTCTTTACTTATGTCATATTCTCTACGCTTTTTATAGATAAGGTAATCAAATATGATGATTTAATGCTAATATAACAAAGTTGAGCTAATTTTCTAAAACCTCTCTACCTAATTTAAACATAAATATATGATTCTCATTTCACTTTTATATGATCTTATATTTATATTATTTTCAACTATTATGAAATATATATAGTTAATAAAATTTTTGATTTTTTTCTGCATATGGTATGATTCAAATTGTTTTAAACGGACATATATTACTCAATCGATGAAGAAAAAAATATGTGTACAATCTATATTAATATTTTTGAATAACAAATTTGCGCGTTTAATCAGGTCGTATTTTTTTTTTACTATGACCGGAATTGAGTCATTCGAATAATATTTTCCTTAATTTCTACAATTATCTAAAATGGGACAATATACTACGGGTGAAATCCTAAAATTAACAAATCAAAATACAATTATTTAGTATTTTAAGATACAAATATAAATTATTTTTACGGGTTAGTCCAAAAACACACACTAATTTAAAAATATATATATTATGGAAACCATTTGAAAGAAAACTTTTAAATTGACTCGAATTATATGTTTTTTAAAATTAAAAGAAATAACAAAATGATGTTTAATTTTACGGGACGGAATTATATGGTGGGACGGGTTTGGATTGATATTAATACGGGACAATATATCACGGGTGAAATCCTAGGATTAACAAATCAAAATACAATTATACAATATTAAACACTAAACAAAACAAATACAACTTAAAATTTCTATTTTTTAGTTACAACGCATGTGACCCGCGGTGTACAACAAAAAATATTATATACAACAAATTCATCAGTTTATAAAAAGATAAAAAAAATCAAATTATTAACCCTCGGGTCATATCCTAGTAGTAGTACAAACTCTTAACCATATACATTACTGCTTTTTTTCGAGGTGAATTTATATGCACTAAAACAAAAGTCATGAGTGAAAAAAATGTTACCAGAGTTGAACAAGTAAATGATATCATGTGAAACAAAAAAAATTGTTTGGAGATAATGTAAAACGAACTGTTCGTCCAAAATGCAAATCATCTTTTCAAAATTTTCGTTACATAATTTCTTAAAAAATAAATTATAGATATAAGTTTTGTTAATTATTTCTCATATATTCAATTAATAATCAATCAACTATGAAATGAATATATTATAAACAAATCATACACTATTTTTTTTTTCTTGAAACAAATCCACATACTATTATTACAAATTAAACTTGAGGCTAAAGTTGGTGGATTGTGTACAAAAGAAGGCGAGAGAGATCTGCCTTCCATTACATAGCAAAGTTGGTCTGGACTTTACTAACGAGATGCTCTCCGTAGACAGCCTTTTTGAAAACTTGGGATCCTCCTCTCCCTGCAGGGTACTTCTGCTTACATATATCCAATGGCTCCACTACCGCGTCGAAATTAGTCTGTTCATTCAAGATAAAACATGATTCCAAATCCAAATGTGGAAAACACACACAAGAGTGTTAAAAGTTTATCACCTCGTAGAAGAATGCGACACAGACACGGTATAGAGGAGAGTTATTGATCACTCTATGAAGTGTCGATTCGTACACTCCGTTTGAAAGTATCTGCATTTTACGATTCCAAAAGGTTTCTCAAAAAGGTATTCAAGAGAAAGGAAGTGAGATGGGAAGAACAAACCTTTAACATGTCGCCGATGTTGCAAACAAACGATCCAGGGATTGGAACGGCTGATATCCAATCGCCGCCCAAGTTTCTCACCTTTTCAAAGTTAAAATTTGTTATAGAGCCAAGACAACTTCTTCACATAAACATAAAATCAAAGGAGGATCATCATAAGAATATTAACCTGAAGAGCAGTTTTGTCATCGTCTTGATTTACAAGAGTTAACAACCCTGCAGAGAAAAGTGTTCCCCATTGAGAATGAAGAGAGAATCAGAAATTCAACATGATATCACTTCAGGGTTAAACTTAATTACCATAGTCAGTGTGAGCTCCACTGGAACCATATCGTTGTAAGCAGCAATTATTCGGAAAAGGTGAGTAACTCGAGCTGATAAGCGAAAAGGGAACCGTAGTAAACAGAATGAGAAGTAGAAGAAAGTTACCATCCGATATCATTTTCCGGTTGGCCATTTGCGAACGGAGCACCTGGATAGCCAATAAGACGCATCACCCAAAAAGGGTCACCAGCCATCTTTCCCTCAAACTCATACGGTGATCCACCAAGAGCTAAAGAGATTCCCCTCAAGATCTTTCTAGAAAGATCTGAATGAAACCATGAAATGAAATCACAAACTAAGAACACTATTAGAAACAAAACACATAAGAAACAGAGAAATGGTAAAAACACACCTGTACATAGCTTAGTATACTCCTCCATCAACTCTTTAAACTCTTGAGGATTCTCTGGCCTTCAAGAAAACGCCACAAATACAAAAGATAGAAATAATCAGAAGACGAAACAACATAACCGGATAAGAAATCGGATACATAGATTACCACTGGTTTGGCCCTTCCATAACTTTGCCTATATCCCCATACTGCCCTTGCTCAAACTCTCTGTAACACTGTCCATAAGAGTATCAAACTCATCAGGAGAAAAACATGGAAACACGGCTAGTGAGACCTAGTGAAGACACAAACACACTTACATCAATGGCTTCGTGGATATCTGGTATTCCCTTAGTTACATTTTCTCCAATTCTCTGATATCCTCTGTTCACAAAAGATCAATGAACAATCTCAAAACTGTTAGAATTTTGGAAGAAAAAAACACAATTGTAGAGACAAACCTGTATCCAGCAGCTGGAGTCATCTTGATCTGAAGTTTCTCTTCATAAGGAAGCTTAAAGAACTCACGAGTGATCTCTCTAACTTTATTTATAAGACTCTCCGAGATTCCATGGCCTATCTGCTCTCCACAAAATCAGATCAAAAAGAAAAAAAAAAAAAAAAGTTGTTCGACTACAAAGCTAAAGAATGAAACTCAAGTTTGTACCACGTAGAAGAATCCGGCGTCCCGACAAGCTTTATCCAGTTGCCGGACAACATCGGCCACGCCGGGATCATCAGCCATGTCGGGATCATCACACTTGGCCAATAGAGGAGATATGTCTGCAATATCATCGAATTTGAATGAAACTGGATGAAACTAAAGAGAATGGAATTTAGGGTTTCGTTAGTACCGATGACTGGTAAAGATCTGAAGGCCGTCGCCATCTCTCTCTCTCTGTCTCTCTCTGCTTTAGAATCTGCTTCAGCTTTTTGTAAATGGGAATCTTATCTGATCTAATGTAGGTGGCGGTGACTTTCTTAATCAAAAACGAGGATCTTTTTGGTAAATAAAGATTGTTTCTTTTTTATTATACTTAGAGCTTTCGATTGCTCTTTTTTGGTGTAGAGATTTGAAGTTTTTAGTTATTCAGGTTTGAGAAATTTTTATCGAAAAGGAAACGAATTTGTTTTGGTGATTGATTTAAAGAGAAAATTATATTTAATCACTATTAAATTGTTCAAATTACCTCTATAAAATTTTGTAATTAACTTTAATTTATGCAGTAGAGTTGTACTAAGTGAATTCCTAATCCGGTTTTTGACAACAACAAAAACAATTATAGTTGAGCGTTGGAAGAACAATGAAAGATCCTCATAAGATATCATTATAACGTTTTTAGTGATGTAAAGTTTATTTATTTTTTCAGTAAGTGATTCTTTAGAAAATATTGTAAGCATTGACATAAGACAAAATCTTAAATGACTATAATTTTCTAAATCCATGATCCAATTAACGTATTATATATAAAGAAAAAAAAATTACACATGAAATTTGAGGTTTGTGGTTTTCAGTTTTGAGATGCTTTTATCGAATTTGTTTTATTATTTCAGCTTGTATGATATTTTAAAAAACAGTACTGGACAGATTTTAAATATAATTGTTATGTTGATTAAATCAAATCGTTTATTTTTAGGAATAAAACAGTTCTTTCAACTTGATTTTGGTTTGAAAGTTCGGTTTGCATTTGGTTAAAATATCCATTCCTCGATTTTACATCAAATCGTTTATTTTTAGGAATAAAAAATGATTTGATTAAATTAAAGTCTTCAATAAACTTTACACCAGCAAAAAAGCAAACCTTCAAAGGGAAAAACTTTATTTTTTACATTAAGCAAATATGTATGACGACGTCTTCTCACGTAAGTTCTAAGACAAAGACGAAACCGAACGTTTCTTACGACCACTGCAAAACGTCGTGCTGTTTTTATCCATCTTATCCAACACGTAGTGTGCAAGCAAATCATTAGACTCAACAAGATTCTCACGGCACAAGAACTCATCGCCACAAAGCCTCTCAACGTCTCTATAATAATCATGCACAAACACATGCGTCTTCGGATTCCCGCCCTTTTTGCTCCGAGCAAGAACCGCCGCCGTGAAAATCGACGACATCCTCCCCGGTCCTTCGTGAGCATCGCCACGTGGCCCGTCCACAAAGATAACATCCCAATCAACATCGTAGACGTGATTAGGCAAATCATTAAGACCTAGTTTACAATCTGAGAAGAGAAGATTTTGCACGGGACGACACTCGTTTCCCGCGGCTTCTTTAGCCGCGGTAACGAGCTCTCCGGCCTCGTGAGCTTTCGTCGTGTATTGAACGTCGAAAACGTCTATCTCCGGGTGGATTTCTTCAAAGTAAGCCGCGTAGTAACGATTCTCCTCGATGAAGACTGTTCTACCGTTGTGGTTTAACGATTTCCAAAGGAGAGTCTCGTGTGTTAGTCCGAAAACGAGAAGATTACACGGCGGAGCGCAGCGGCGGAGGACGTCGGAGATAGATTTCATCTCTCCGTAAGACATGTGGAAACTGTCGTTGGATCTTGACGCGTAGTGAAGCAATGCGTTGATTGCACTCGTTGGTAAGTTAGAGTTGGAGATGGGAGATGATGATGAAGATGGTGATCCTCCGGTGACGACGGCGGCTACGGCGGCGGCGACGGAGGTGTTTTTGGAAGGGATTGTGTCTCTAGTGTAGAGGAGAGTTAGGAGGAACACGATGGTGAAGAAAGAGACGAAAGCGAGAAGCCATAAACGAGTTGTGCTCGTTTGTTTTTGGATGTAAGGATGAAGAAGGATTAGCTTCGTGTTCGTGTTCCCTGATCCGTTCTTCATTGTTCACTCTTCTTCTTCTTCTCTTTCCTCTGTTTTCTTCTTTATTAGAAGATTTTCAGAGGAAGAGGACGATTGAAGAATGATTTAAGAGTTTTCAAATGGAAGAAAAAATGGGATTGATTTAAAAGAAAGTAAGTAGTGAGCTGTTTCGTGAAATGTGAGCTATAAGCAAAGATTTGTGTTAACCTAATAGAGAATTGAATAAAAAACATTGTGATATATTTTTTCTTTAACGTTCTCGAAGTTTTAAGTCTTGGAATTTATTTTCTTTTATTTTCTAATGAAGTGTTTACTTTTGGGAATCCATTTTTTCTAAAATTATTTGCTTTATTTCGCAACATATCAAAATAGAACCGTGGAAACTTAAAGGAGTATTCAATTTTCTTTAGGTTCTTATCTAATTACTCGATTATGATTAAGTAAATAAGTTGGAAACAACTTGGTTTACGTCCATCGCTATTTATGGATTTAATTGTAATTCAGTATAACTAGTTTTTTTTTTCTTTTCCAAAGAGTGTATAAAGATTACTTCTATTTATAGCTTGATATTGTGATCAAACAAACCAAAAATATTATTTGTTATGTGAAAACAGAATTAACTGCAATAGTTTATGTAAAAAGGTATTAAAATATATAAACGATGATGTGTGAGGTTTTTTTTGTTTTTGCTAAAGATGATGTGTGAGGTTGGTTGTTGTATGTATAAGTGTTAAGAGTTTTGGTCATTGCGAGAGACACCAAATCTAATTACAGACCAAAAGTCTCTATCCCTTATTGCTTTGGTTTAGTTCTTAAGGAAGCAGCCCAAAAGAACGAGATACACCCACACACAAAACATGAAAACAATACAATATTGAATAGATAATGATAAAAAAAATCATTTCGTTTTCTTTGATTAACCATTGGATTGAGACAAAACATATTGATTTATTTGAAGAAATATAATGCTTATATTTGTCAATTTTTTTTTTTTTTTTTGTCAATCGTCATATTTTAATTACAAGAAATGCAAATCCTTAAAACAAATAACTCAAATATAGTTTTTTCTGTAAGCTATTATATCATCGTTGGTAAATTTCATCATTCATAATCTAACTTTTTGCAATACTACAACTTAACAAAAAGTTTTACAGACGGCTCTACGACAGATGATTCTTTTTGAATCACAACGATCTACGAGAGACGGTTCTACATACACCATATTAACGATGAATTGCATAATTTGCATTTTCTAAAAATCGAACTCCATATTTGCATTAATATAAATATTTAGTCAACCACTCTATATTATCAAATGACAATTGCGTTGATAATCAATCTAAAATTAGGTTTCTTTTTGGTTCCTTAAAACTATATTGATAAGCTCCGTTTAATTCTCTTCAGCATGTTTGCCTTTGGACTAAAGGCGCTTGCTCTATTGATGATCCTCATGAAAGACGTTAAATAAGAAAGAACCCTATTTTTAGATTGGGCCTATTCCGTTGAGGAAAAAAACAAGATTTGGCCCATTCAGAGTTTTGAAGGTCTAGAAACAACCCAAAGCACCTCGCATCCACGTATGTTCACAAGCCCAATGCGACCCCTTTCATGGTCGCATAAATCATTTAAAAATTCGTGATTACTTTTGTATAATGGATTAAGGGTTGGCTGATTTTATAGCCATAAACTAGTTGCATTCTCAGCTTTTTCTTTCAACTTTTTTGTCCTTGAAAATTCTACCATAAACTTAGATAATTCTTACAATTGCAACATGTACTTTCGGATTCATCCTTAAAACTACGCCTCCAATTGACCCGGCCAATAAACCGGTATCACATAACCCGGTTTGATTTAATTCAAATTTAACCAAACTTAAACCCGATTTTGACCCGAATCTTCTTCTTCTTCACCCGATTTTGACCCGATTTATTTTTTCTTCTTCCTCTTCATTTCTAGAACGACCAATAATCCCAAAACCCATCACAATCAAATTTGCAATTATTCTACCATATAGATTCTATTCTTCGATTTTATGCACAATTTTCTTACGATTCTATTATTCAATTTCTACTTCGTTTACCTCTTTTCTCTCCTCGAATTTCATGAGTTGTTAATCGATCTTTGACTCCAAATTGTTCGACGTTTTGATTTGTTTCTTTGTCGTTGCTCTTCGACCAACCAAACAAAACCAAACAAGAGAAGATCGTGATTGAATATGATGTGGATTTCAGGCTTCAGAATCATGATATTGGAGCGTCTATCCGGCGAGGAGCAGCAGCAAAGGAGAATGCTTTTGCGTTTTCATTGGAGCTTCTCTCCGGCGAGCAGCACCAATCGACGACAGCGCCAATTGAGTAACATGTTCCATAAGCAGCCTGAGCGGCGGTCATGAGTTTAGTGGCGAGACCAAGCTTGCGATGGGTACGAAGAACGGCGAGAGAAGTGATATGGCTGATGATTCACACTTAACAATACTCCCAATCAACGGAATCGGAGAAATCTCCGGTTTGATCGCCATCGCCAGAGACAGAAAGTCGGGAACATGAAGAGGAAGAAGAAGAAAAAAAATTCTGGTCAAAATCGGGTGAAGAGAAAGAAGATTCGGGTCAAAATCAGGTTTAAATTTGGTTAAATTTGAATAAAATCAAACCGGGTTATGTGGTACCGGTTTATTGGCCGGTTCAATTGGAAGCGTAGTTTTAAGGATGAATCTGAAAGTACATGTTGCAATTGTGAGAATTAGGCCTGGGCATAAAACCAGAAATCCAAAAACCGATCCGAAACCGATCCGAAAAATCCGGAACCGAATCCGAACCGAAGAGTCACAAAACCCGAACGGATAATGAATTCTCCTATCCGAATTACCCGAACCGAATCTGATCCGAACCGAAAACCGAAAGGATATCCGAAAACCGAAAATAAAATTAAATATCCAAAAATATTAGTTATATTTAGTTTTAATTTTATAGCAAATAACAAAAATATCCTAAATAACCTATATTTCAGAAATCTTTTAGTTACATTTGTTAAAATTATACATATTTTTATAAAATTTCACCAAATTTTAGTAAGATTAAACCAATTTTTATTTAAATTGAACAATTTTTTAGTTTTTTTTCCCGAAAACCGATCCGAATCCGACACACATCCGAACCGAAACCGAATCGATGACTCATAAAATCCGAACGGATAATAAATTCTTCTATCCAAATTATCCGAATCCGAATATATCCGAACCGAAACCGAACCGAAAAGTCATAAAATCCGAACGGATAATAAACTCTCATACCCGAATGATCCGAATCCGAATATATCCGATCCGAATCAGAATATATCCGATCCGAATCCGATCTGAAATCCGAATGCCCAGGCCTAGTGAGAATTATCTAAGTTTATGGTGGAATTTTCAATGGCAAAAAAGTTAGGGGGAAAAACTGAGAATGCAACTAGTTTATGGCTATAAAATCAGTCAACCCATGGATTAATGGTAATAACAGTATACGATGTCCTTTTCTTTGTACCAATACAAAATTTATACAACTACGATCCAATTTGGTTAGGTATAATTTGCAAAACAAGCTATGCTTCTATCTCGTTTTCATGTATATTTTTATTTTGTCATCGTCTACTTATATGTTTTATTGTCTACAACAACAAATCATATCTACGAAGTACGAACACGTTACACATGGACGGTTCTGAAATACACACTCATTAGTGTGTGTTCTAAAAGATTGTTTATCAATCTCTGGAGTTCTTTTATGTATATAATTCACTAATCGAGTTCATTTCTTGAATATCATAATATTTTATTGTTCATTTCTTGAATATATATCATAATTGATTTTTAAAAAAAAACTCACAGTAAAATGATTCAAAAAGAATAAAAAATCATCCAATGCATAAATACACGCGTGCCATCTCAAGATTATACATATTGAATAAATCTTTCAGAATAATAACTGACACAGATGCTCTGCTCCGTAACACAAAAACACACACACAAAATGACACTCTTCTTCTACTCTCTTCTCTTCCTCCTCCGTATCTCCGCCGCAAACTCCCTCCCAGCGACGAACTACTTCGACTCCTTCTTACCTTCCGACGCCGTCGCACTTCTCTCCTTCAAATCCACCGCTGATCTCGACAACAAGCTTCTATACTCTCTCACCGAGCCTTACGATTACTGTCAATGGCGCGGCGTCGACTGCTCTCAAGATCGCGTCGTTCGTCTTATCCTCGACGGCGTTGGTCTCCGAGGACGTTTCTCACCGGAGACTCTTAGTCGTCTTGATCAGCTTCGTGTTCTTAGCCTTGTGAATAACTCAATCTCTGGTTCGGTTCCTGATCTATCTCCTTTAACCAATCTCAAAACCCTAACCCTAAGCAAGAACCGTTTCTCCGGTACTCTCTCTGGTTCGATTCTTTCTCTTCGCCGGTTAGTCGAACTTGATCTATCGTTTAACAACTTCGCCGGTGAGATTCCGTCGGAGATCAATGCTCTGAGTCGACTCATTTCTTTAAATCTCGAGTTTAATCGATTCAGTGGTCCTCTCCCGCCGTTGAATCATTCTTCTATGACGTCGTTTAACGTTTCCGGTAACAATCTCACCGGTTTAGTTCCGGTTACAACGACTCTGTTACGATTCAACGCGTCTTCGTTTTCGTCAAACCCTGGACTCTGCGGTGAGATCATTAACCGATCTTGCGGTTCACGTTCTTCTTCTCCATTCTTCGGTTCAACTAAACCAAACGCCACGTCATCATCTTCTTCGTCTCAAGCACCGATTAGTCAAAGCGAGAACGGTGAAGCAGCGATGATTGTTCCACCGGTGGTTAAAAAGGTTAAAAATGGTTGGTTAGTACTTGGTTTCACCATTGGTCTCGCTTCTTTGATAGTCCTCGGTCTTTGTCTCGTAGTGTTCTCGTTGTTTATGAAGAACCGGAGAGACTACGACGATGACGTGATAATGACGCAACCTAAACGAGAAGAAGGAAACAAAGAAATCAAAATCCAATTCCAAACCACTGAGCCGTCGCCGCAAAAACGAATCTCAAGAAACGGAGATTTGATTTTCTGCGGCGACGGAGGAGGAGTAGCTGTGTATACACTTGATCAGTTGATGAGAGCTTCTGCGGAGCTTTTTGGAAGAGGATCAGTAGGTACGACGTATAAAGCGGTGATGGTTAATCAA